TCTTGAAGCATATACCAATGTTGATTATGCATGGTCAATTATGGATATGAGATCAACTACGGGTTATTACACTTTCCTAGGTGGAAATCTCGTGACTTGGAAAAGCAAGAAACAAAATGTAGTATCGAGATCTAGTGTTGAAGCAAAGTTCATGGCAATGGAACAAATGATATGTGAATTAATATGGCTTAAATCAATCTTGGAAGATCTGAGGATAAAGTGCGATGAACCGATGAGACTATATTGTAATTGTTGTGAATCAGATGTCTTTAAACAAAGTATAAAATGATTTCTTAATGATCAAGAAACACACAAGGGTTAGGGTTAATAAAGAAAGCAAGGTAAAACAACAAGGAACAACAAGGAGTGGTTATAATGAAGTTAACAAGATAAAATGAAGTTAACAATTGTAAAGAGACATAAGAAATTGTTAACCCAGTTCAGTGCAAACACACCTGCGTCTGGGAGCTACCAAGCCAGGAAGGAAATCCACTAAACAAAATTAGTTTAAAAACTCTCAGCAAACTCTCTCTAATTTACAATATTTGCACCTAATATCTATCCATGTAACTTCTATCTAAGACACTCTCAGATATGAGACATCTCTCACTCCCCCTCAATCACATGCAGTGATAAAAACAGAAGATCAAAAAGTAGAAGACACACTTGAAGGACAATACTTGATCTTGCTTAAAAGCTTCAATCAAGAACAATGCACTCGTGCTTAAAAGCTTAGAGTGGACAACTTACAACTCAAAGAACTCAGTCCAATTCACACATAAAAGTGATGAACGAATGGCTTACAAATAACAAAAACACAAGAAGGTAAAACCATATTCCTTAAGCAATGCACCCTCTCAACCCTAGCTTCTCTAAAATAGGATTGTAAAGTCTTTATATATAAACACTTTATATGGGCTTGGGCATTAGCAAAAACAAACTCTAATTTGATAAAATCAAATTAGATCATTCTTCAAATCTTTTCATCAATAAGGACATAAAAATAGAACCAAATCAGATTTGATCAAATCAAATCAAATCAAACTTTAAATCTTCTCAAGATTTCCTGCACAAAAATAGGACAAAAGATTCCACAATAACTCCACGAATTATACTGCAGAAACTCTTTTGTTTAAAGAAAATCTCCACCTTGATTTGCACCAGCAAAATCTCTCACCAGAAAAGCACAAAAGGTTGCACAAAAACTCAACAGACAAAACATAACATTCTGACTGAATGTTCTGTAAACATATGTCAGGACATCATACTTGACATCATGAACTAAACCATGCAACAACAACAAAGAACCACCTACAGAATGTTAAGATTACATGTCAAGACATCCTATAGGACATCTTGTGATAACACCAAGTTTTACCAAAATTGCTACCAATCACAGAACTAACAAACTCCCCCTTTGACAAATTTTGGCTAAAACAACCAATTGATCACAAGAGCTACCACAACACATCAGAGAGTACAACAGTAGTAGAAAAACACAAAAAAAGCTCCCCTCAAACCAAAGACACCAGCAACAGCACAACATCCCTCATACTACTTTGGTATCAAAAAAAAAATACTCCCCTTCAACCCAGAAACAGAAGAAACAACACAACATCCCTCATACTCCTTATACTACTTCTCCCCATTTTTAGCCATAAATAAAGAATCTCACTCAGAGAAAACCATTATCATAGAACAATCATACAGAACCAATAGTGTCAAGAGTGCAGAAAGAAACCAAAAAAAAATTACAAGCCAAAGCACATTAAGTGCTAAAAGAAAATTCTAGAAAAAAAAAACAACCACAATCCAAAGAGCGCCATCAACTCTTTTCCTCAGAACCAGAGTTGTCACCTTCATCACCAGCAGTAAAACCAGAATCATGACCCTCAATCAGAGGTAGAATCCTCCCTAGCTTCCTATTCATCTGCATCAGCAGGCTCAACATCATTACCTTCTGCCTACTCCAGACTTCTAATCAAGGCTTCCAATTTCAGCTTCCTTGCAGTAGTTACACAAATGACTTCTCCCAAATCTCTGCAAGTTTCCTTCAACTCTGAGATACGCCCAGTCTTGGTAGAGGATGTCTTCTCAGCAAATGTCAAGACAATGTCTGGGACATGTCTTTCAGCAAACAATTTATAATTGAGAGACAACACATAATCCCTTTTGCACACTACATCATTACTAGAGAGAATATCAGGATACTAGCTTAGAATGATCCCACAAATTAGTGAAGGAAATGCAATGGGCAATTTGACAACATTGGTGGTAGCATGCTTCACAATCTGATAAAAAATGTAGCTACCATAGTCAAACTTCACCTTTGTACCAACAGCAAATATAAACCTTCCTAACCCAACAGCAAATATAAACCTTCATAATCCATTCTTTTCTCGAGTCGCCACTTGAAACCACAAGAACATCAAATGAATCGAAGTCATCTTGAACAATGGTTACATTACCATTACCTCCATAATCTTTCAAGCGCTCAAGACACACCTTTCTTGTGTGACCCTCCTTCTTACAGTGATAACATCGAATACCAGATGTTTCGCCACTGTAATACTTCTGTTGACATTTACCTTTCTTCTTGTCGAACTTACCATCCTTTCGCAAGAATTTTCCCTTAACGGCCAAACCTTCGCCCACCGTCGAAGGTTTATGCTCCTTTCGTTCAAGTCCTTAGAATACAAGGCTGATTGAACTTCTTTAAAGGTCAAGGATTCTCTTCCATACAAGAAAGTTTCTTTAAAGTGAGCATCTGTTATGGGCAAAGCACACAACAGCAGCAGTGTTTGATCTTCATCATCGATCTTCACATCAATATTTTCAAGATCAAGAATCAGCTTGTTGAACATATTCAACTGCTCAGCCAACACTTTGTCTTCACTCATCTTGAATGAATACAAAGCTTGCTTCAGGTAGAGTCGATTCACCAGACATTTGGTCATGTACAAACTTTCAAGTTTCACCCATAATTCTGATGTTGTAGTCTCCTTTGATACCTTTCGAAGAACCTTATCACTAAGACTCAACAATATTGTGATGTGGGTTTTCTCGATCATGCCTGTCTTTTCTTTTGTCGTTAACACAACGTCCATGGCTGTCTCCCCCTTCAACGCTTCCAAACAGCCCTGTTGAACCAGTAGGGCTTTCATCTTCAAGTTCCATAGACCGAAGTCGTTCACTCCGGTGAACTTTTCAATCTCATACTTTGTTAAAGGCATCTTTTCCATGCTCGCCGCACCAATTTGTTGTGAATCAGATGTCTTTAAACAAAGTATAAAACAGTTTCTTAATGATCAAGAAACACACAGGGGTTAGGGTTAACAAAGAAAACAAGGTAAAACAACAAGTAACAACAAGGATTGGTTATAAACAGTTATTCTTTCCTTTCTCTTAAAACAAGATTACAAGTATACAAGAATAACAAAATAACCTCTCTCTCTTGAAACTAGGATTTTATCTTTCTATTTTTTCTTATTGTCAAGATTGAGAAACTAACATCCTATTTATAAGAAAAATAGCACACTAATCTAATGGGCAATTACAAGCTAACTTAGGGTACAAGCTAACTTAAACACTTGGGCTTACAAACAAGACTCAATCTAATATGCTAACAACCTAGCAATATTGACTAATGCATGTTAGAACAAACTTCGACTACAACACGCATTATCTTCGACAACAACATGTGAACAGACTTCGACCTCATGCTTAATTCCTTTTGAACCAAAAGCTACCCTTCGACCATACTAGAGTTCGATCCAACATCCCACAGTGATAATAAGTCGGCTATTAGCATAGCTCATAACCAGTGCAACATGACAGAACCAAACATATTGAAGTTGACAGACACTTCATTAAAGAAAAATTAGACAGTGGTCTTATTGCACTCCTTATGTATCCTCTTAAGGCAACCTTGCAGATCTTCTAACAAAAGGGTTAAACAACAATAACTTTGAAGAAATTTTTTCAAGCCGGGAATGATAGATATATATTACCAGCTTGAAGGGGAGTGTTATAAATAATTAATTTGTTTGTTATTTTTATTAATAATTTAAGTTTGGATCTTTAGTAAGGTCCATTAGATTCGAATACTCTATTTAAAGATACGTGTTTTAACTTAAGGGACCATTATAAAATGCAGCCAAAAAATATGGGACAAAAAGGGATATAAATTGTTTTTTTTTATATATATTAGTTGTTTATTTCATATTTTTTGTTTTTAGGATTTTCTTAATATGATTTAAATATTAAGATATGGATGACTAACATCTTTTTTTTTAAAATCTTAACAGAGCAAAACTCTATGCTCTATATGAGCTTGATTTAAGATAGAAATTATTTGCATTTAACGGATATTTGAATCGGAGACTTTGAGAGAAAAATACTCTCAGAATCTCAAATTTTCACCACTAAATTAATATTTAATTTTAAAAAATATCAACTAAAATAAATATAAAAAAATATGTTTTTCAAAATTTTAGAAATTACAAAAAGATTAGTATTAAAACTTTAAAAAAAATTAATAACATTAATACAAATGGAAATGATACATTTTGGTCAAGGAGTTAAAACTACCAAAAGAAAAATATTAGAAACTCAAGCTTAAAAACATTAATATTAATCAATTATGTAATAATCAATAAAAACTTGGATTCTGCTAATTGTTTTCTTGTGACAATTGTTAAGTAATTAAAAAGTATTAAACTCTTGTTGAAAAAAAAATCAGTTTTTAAACTTTTGAATAATAAATATATGAGCATTTTTCTTTAAAATTTCTATAACTTAATTTGCTGTCCCCTATTTGTTTTACATTTCTAACTACCTAAAAAAAGTGTATTGATATTTGATTTATTTCAATTTTGAGTTAGGAAGAATCTTAACATATTTATGAAAAATCATGAAACTTTCAATTCTCATATTACATAAACACATTTGAATTATACTTCAACAAAGAATTTAATTTGATGATTTGGATAGAACAAGTTTTAGTTTTTGCTAGAAGAGCCAAACTTGTAGGTTACATAAGATCCAAGTGCTACAATAACTAAAATTGCAGCTCCCATATTTACAACTAAAGGCTTTTCTTGTTCATTCAATTTTCCTTCTCCTATTTTCTTAACAACTTGAGAAGTTGAATCTCTCACTTCTTTGAAGATTCCATTCTCTTTTGCATAAACTTCATAATCCTTCTTTTCCCTCTTTGCTTTGTCAAAAGTGTTAGTAACACTTTCCTTCTTTGCATCTTTTGCATCAAAATGTTCTTCTCCTTTTGATGACTCTTTTCTTGCCCTAATTTCTTTTCCTTCTAAAAACATGTTATGATCAACATATTTTTGATCTACCTTGCTTGACTCATAAGTCTTCTTATCATCACCGTCTTTAATTTCTTTATTCGCAGCGCTTTTCTTTTCGTCTTTTCTGTCGCCGTCGTGCAATTGTTTTTTAATTTTTTCTAATATGGCCCTTTTCCTTATTTCATCTTGAATTTTCTCATCATCTATTTGGGTTATAGGATCCATCTTAAATTTTGATTTTTGATCAATTTCCTCTTGACCCTTTTGACCTTTTGCACCTATAGCTTTGGTTTTTACTTTTAGTAGCACATTATTTTCCTCATCAAAAACTTTAGGTTTAGAAGACTCCACATTGTAGGGTTCCAAAGCTTTCAATTTTCCCTTAGGACTTTGAGTTGTGAAATTTTCTTGTTGAGTACCCTTTTGTTCCTTCAACTTACTCAAATCATTTAACCCTTTTACAAGATTACTTGGTGATGAAGGAACTTTCTTGTCTCTGGTAGATTCTTCTATTACTCGATTTGCGGCATTTTTCGAAGGAATATTGGTTCCCTTTGGTGTTCTAGGACTTGCTACAAATTTTTCTTTGGAAGTTTCAACTTGTGATGATTTAAGTGATGGGAATTTCTTTGGCATTGCAACAATGAGAGTTCCATTTTCAAACTTGCCTTCAAGTTTCTCTACCTCACAATTTTCTGGTACAGGAAATGATTGATCAAATTGGCTCCATTTGTTGCTACCAATTATTTGCCTTTGTCCTATAATCCTTAGGGTTCTAGAAAGTGCCACAAATTTGATACTTATTCTCTCTTTTATAAAACCTTGTAGAACATAAAAGACAGAGTAATATGATTCATCAATTATTATATCTCAAAATATAAAGAAAAATCAATTCTATTTTAAAATATAGAAAAAAATCACATATATACAGAGAAATTCAGAAATTTTAGTTTGTAGAAAAAAAAAAAAAAAAAAATATATATATATATATATATATATATATATATATATATATATATATATATATATATATATATATATATATATATATATATATATATATATATATATATATATATATATATATATATATATATATATATATTGTAAAAAATGATAAAATAAATACATAATATTTACTAAGTAAAAAATTTAGACACTACTAAAATCTGTCATTTTATATATAAAATATAAGGCATACTTAATATTCAAGAAATGTTTTTTAAGGATTTTTATATTTTTAAAATTTAAAATTATTATTTTTTAAAATAAAAAAATGAATGATGCATCGATTGTATAAATTAATTTTACATTATTAATTAATGACGACTATTTATTTCGTCAAATTAGATTGAAATTTTTAAATTATTTATATGATATAATAGAATAATATATTTTTATTGGATTATAGTAAAAAAATTTATTACATTGTTAATATATAACTATTAAAGTTTTAAAAATATTAATTTTTTTATGGGGACAACATTTTATTTTAATTAATTAAAAAATAAAATTATTAAATTTTTTTATAATATTATAAACAACTAGGTAGAGGCAGCTGCCCCAAAGACACTAATGTAGATTCTTATACATATATATATATATATATATATATATATATATATATATATATATAAACCTAAATCAATTCTATTTCATGGGTTAGTGCATGGCAATATTTTTATGAATTCTAATATAAACTTACATGCATATAATTTAAGACATAATATTTGTGCAAAATGTTAAATCATCCGTTGAAATTTATATTATATACGTTCAATTATAAAGATTAATTTTTTGAGTCGAAAAGAACCATACTAATTTTTATTGTTACTTTCGACTAAAAGATTAAATGACTTTCTCCTTATTTTTTTATAATTGTCAATTTTTAAAAATAATATACTCATAGAAATTAATACTTTATTTTATTTTTGAAATGCACCTTTTAGGTATCACAACAAACAATTAAAAAAAAAAAAAAGTAAATAAAAAACGGTAATATATACGCACCAGGAAGGTAAATGTGAAGAAAGTATGCTTGTTGATTTTCCTTTAACTCTGACATGGGTTGGAAAGTTTCATAGACAGGATCAATGGAAGGTTTTGTTCTAGGAATAGGTGTTCTTGATCTCATAGCCATAGCCCTTAATTATTGCTATTCTTGATTTATTCTATAAGTTTTGAATGAACAATATTTGGATATGAGATCATATATATGTGTTTTTTACATTGTAATAGAGTTTTCTTGTTGAAGAGACTATTCCTTTTTGTGTAGTTTGGTTTGTTGATGTAATTGAGAAGGATTTTTGTATTTCCTAGCTTGGTGTGTTGAGGTATAACTTGGTTTGCAAAAATAAAGAGAAATCATTGTTCTTTGTTTTTCTTGTACACAAGCTAACCCTACAATTTGGGAAAACCTATCATGGTGTTGTTTATTGTTAAAGACTTTGTTGTTAAACAATTTTGGTAATTAAGTCAGATTAAAAATTATATTAATATTTATCTTATCTTACTTTAAAACAACATTTTTTTATTTTTTTATTTTATTTAATTTTTCTCTTTTAAATATTATATTGATATAATCAAATTAATATTTAATTAGTTTGTGTTTAATTTAAAATTTTCTATATTTTATTAACTTTTCTTATATTAAATATTTAGTTATTGCTAATACAATTTAGATATGTATTGTATTTAAAATATATTATAGTAATTATAAAAAATAATATAGTACTTAAAAATATATTATAGTTAAAATATTTATAATAAATATTATATGATTTTCATTTTCATTTTCATTTAAGTATGAAAAATAATTCTAAAAAAGAAGTATGTTTATGGTCGGTTAGCCCGAAACCCGTACAAGATTGGATTCGAGTAGTAATTTTTGAATCTATATTATATCAGAATTTTTTGGGCTCGGTCCTAAAAAGCCCAAGGTCTGTCAGGGTCGACCAATAGAGCAGGATAATCTTTTTTGACAGCTTTAGAGATTGTCTATGGCAAAGCAAACCACGTAAAATGTTGAGCTATCGGGCCAGTGTGTTTTGACTTTCTTTATTGGTCTTGGGTCACCCAGTCCAAAATCATATTCATACTCTATTAGTTTTTATCACATGTGGTCTATGAGGTATCTAGGAAATAAGAGTTTAGGTCACATCAGTCAAGGGAAAAAACTGTTCCTCCAAGATTTAAGGAAAAACATGTCTTCCCTACTCTCATGTATCTGTCAAAAAGTTAGGGAAAATTGTTTTTCTCCTTCTTGTGCGGTCCAAAGAGCCCACAATAAATAATACAACCTCAGAGCTTGGAGACTCATTCACTAATTTCATCAAACCCTAACATACATAGTATCTTGCTAACAAGCACGTGAGCAGACTTTGTTCTTATTGGTAAAACTAACCTAGACAACACTTAAATCCAACTTTCATTTGCTCCAATCACCTTATTCAACATGGTGATACGATGGAGCGTTGGCATAGCTATCAGTGCTAGCCACGACATTCTAGAAACCTTAGCAGAGATATGTGCTACTGTGGAGGAGCTACACCACTCCAATCAGACTTTAGAGGAGAATTACCTAACCCTCTAGGAGCGACACCATAAAGATATCTAGATAAAAGACAAGGTTCTAGACCCCCAACCTCTCTTATATGAAATTTTGGACACTATAGTATCATAGACCTTAAAACAACCATTTGTGAAGTTCCATGGGAAGGGTCACCCTCAATAGCACATCGCCGACATCAACAGTCATATAGTGATCATTGGTGCATCTGATTCTTTAAAATGCAAGCTCGTGTTCATCCCTTTCGAAGAGGTGACACTCTAAAGTGGCTTACAAACCTTTGTGCCTCTCAATAACTAATTATTAGGATCTCTCCAGGAAATTGGTCTACCAACTCTCAACGAACAAGCATCGTAAGGTGTCTACCGCTAGCTTGTTCAATGTCCACCAAGGAAAATTTGAGTCCCTATGAGAGTATCTTGTCTGTCTTAATGAGGCAACCATCAAGGTAATTCACCTAAATTAGGAGATGTTCGTGGGAGCATTCCAAAATAGTTTCATCCCATAATTGAACAATTTATTACCACAGGGTCCTCTACCCAATAAAACAAAAAATTATTATTGTCGTTCTTGTTGAACACTACCATCAACTAGTCATCTCACATATTCACTCTCATGGACCTACTTTTTAGTTTTTATAATTTTTCGAATTAGGGAGAACATAATCGTACCGGATATGGCACCCAAGGTGACCCAACCACCCTTGCTATAAGTCTTAGTGTCAGTTAAAGAAAAGAATAGACAAATAGTGGGAGATACCTCCAAGTTCCTATACAAAATCTCAAACACCCTAATAAACTCTCATCCATTTGGACGTTATTTGAGAAAGGGCGTGTTGGTGGTTTTGAGCATCTCAAACTCAAACATGGTGAGGGTATTAGCACATCTAAATCATGTATTACAAGAAGGTACATGTAAAATAAGTCGCTCTCTAAATCATTAGAGGGCGTCATGTGAGCCCTCTTGTCTTTAGAGAAAGACTCCAATATGACACCATTCTCATCCCCTAAGATAGACAAATTCAAGCCCTTACAGAAGGAGTTCATTTTCCCTTACTTGGCATACAACGTATCATAATCTTTGACCCCTAATATTTTAGAAGATTTGGAAGCCATCAACCAACCTAATTTTCTTGTGAAAAAGGAGGAGGGAAAGAGTCATTATCACTGGTATAGTCTAAGGTACTTTCATAACCTCCAAACATCGTATTTCAAAAAGCTTGTAATCAACCATACCATGAGATCTCCGAGCATTTTCATACAGTATCCCTACATGTTTATGAGCTCTCTACAAGTTGAGGGTTCAATCACTTTGTAACTCTCATTTATATCCCTAATAACCATCCTTACTAGAAAAGGAAAAGATAAATGGAAATGAGGAAGATGTAATTCTTGAGTTTGAGTGTGAGAATGATGGAAGACGAGTTGGTATTGCTTGGGAGAAATTACACAAGAAAGCTCCTACTTGAGAAGAAGCATGAGGGTTTTTGAAGTAGCGTGAGGAAGAATAAAGAAAAACCTTGCTAATATGAAGAAAAATGCTTAAGTCATGTAGGTCATCAATTCCCTAACATAGGCGTGCATCTACAGTAGGAAAGAAAAAACATTAAGGACTGGATATGTGTGCATGTATATGATTAATGGTTCAGGATAATTATGTCTTTCCATGACAATAGTCAGTGTGCCTAAGCATTAAATGTTGCACGTGTCTTGAGCAGGGCTTGAGGGACTCGCCCTAAAAAGCAAACCACATGAGATGATGGACTATCGAGCGGGCGTGCTCCAGGTTGCATCTTAGATCACGTCAGTCAAAAGAAAAATTAGGAAATAAAGATTTAGGTCACGTCAGTCAAAAGAAAAATTATTCCTCTAAGATTTGAGGAAGAGCTGGTACCCCTACTCTCACGTATCCATCGAGAAGCTAGTGAAAACTATTTCTCTCCTTCTTGTTCAGCCAAAGAGTCCTCAATAAATGCTTTAACATCATAAGTTTAAAGAGTCATTCACTAATTTCAACAAACCTTAGCATATACTCCCTCTATCCTAAATTACAAAACGTTTTGCCAAAATAATTTGTCCCAAATTATAAGTCATTTTATAATTCCAATGCAACATTTATAATTTTTTTTCTAATATACCCTTAAGTATTTATTATTATTTCTTGTTTCAACACTTTTAATTTTCCTCTTCTGTATAATTATGATGTAAATTAATATAAATTCATATTTTATCTTTTTTTTCATACCAAAAAAATGATAACTAAATTTTTTAATTCGCGTAAAATGACGAAAACGACTTATAATATGGGTCGGAGATAATAGTATGGTGATATACTTTCTCCTTATCGTCCTTCACAATTACAAGTATAATGTGTATGCATTTCAACTTCTTTTCTATTAGATTTCTCAGCAAAACAATGATCACATTTTTTAAGTGTAGATTACTCATGTTACAATATGTTGTTCCATAACTCAACATTTTTAGAAGTTTTAACTACATGGACACTTCAAACCTCTAATAATAAAATCAAATTATTTTACATTATTTTATCTCCGCTGTGAATATTAAAAAAAAAATAATAAATAATAGGTACTTTTCTAAACTTTTTAATCTTTGAAATTTTTTTTATTCTTGTAAGTCTCCAAAATCCAATTTTCCTAAATCTTTTCCAAACAAAAAATAAAAAACACTAAGAATTTGTCAAATTAATTTTCATTTTTTATAGGAAAAAAATAGATTTTTTTTACACTAAGAAGTTGGGCCTTTTATATTGGCCCAATGGGCTTGGGCTTTCTAAGTGTCCCATCTTCTTCCCACATCAAAGCCACATCAGTACACATCGAGAGTTGAATCGAACATCAATGGGGATAACCAATTTCGTGCTCACGGTTGCCGGTGTTAGCGCCGTCGTGCTTCTCCTCCGAAGCGACGTCAAAAAATCAGCTTCAATTTTCAAACAAAACGTTAAACAAATTCGTCACTGGCTCGAAGAAGAAACCCCTAATCCTTCCAAGTGAGTTTCCCTAACATCACCCCCTTTTTATCTATCTTCTTCTTGCGTGTAAAGTTTCGATTTTGATTATTAGGGTTACTTTATTTTTCGTGTATGTTCATGTTTTCACAACTGGGTCTTCTTATTTTGAAGTTTGTATGTAAATTTGTAACTTTGTGATTGCTTATAAACCATTCATTTGAACATGAAGGATGCGTTTGATTAGGGATTTCGAATGAAAATAAAGGGAAGTGTAAAAAAATCAATTTTGAATGAAGAGAGTGCCTTGTTTGTTTATAATCATAAAGTAGAATGATGAATTGTAAATTAGTACATTTTTTTAGTCTAAACCATTCTAAAGGGTGCGTTTAATTGGATTTTGAAAGATATATGAGAGGAAAATATTTGGAAGATTACGGAACATGCGTAAACTTCACTCTGTAGCACTGACGCCTTTGAAATAGATGCAGACACCGAAACCTTGATTGATTAACTTCAATTTATTCATTTTTCCAAATTATTATCGGTGTCGTGTACGTGTGTGTCCGTAGTTCATAGCTTCTTGTTCACCTTTCTCTCCATATGTTTGCTTGTTTTTGTTGAAAATTGGTTAGGTGATGTGAAATTGTTAGTATACGTATATTGTAGCCACTAGAAAGTTTGTATTGTTGAAAAGGTTTGTGTCTTTTCCTTCTGCCCCTCTCGTTTACTTAAAAGGTTGATGAGGTTATTAGGATTTTTTACTTATTGATAAGCTGCTAAAGTTTTTGCGATTTAGCATATCAGAATTGAAACAAATCATTGTTGTTCTACGATACACTATTTACTATTTAGTACTATAAAGTGTTGTTGAATATCGGCTATAGAAGCATTGTAGCATTGTAATGTAGCAGAATTTGAATAAACCGCTATTTTCTGCGTTGATAACACTTGGTTCATCGGTTGTAATATGATATGTTTTGCTATCTTTTCAGGGTTACAAAAGAACTACAATCAAAGGTTACTCCAAAAGACATACCTAAGGAGGATAAGCACTAGTGTTTATGCATTGTAATTTTGTTTTACTATGGGTTTCTCTTGCCCTCTATTTGAACATATAGAGTGTGTTTTCTTTTCTAAAATAAACTTTTCATCTTTGTAATGTGTTCATATAAAATGGCTTTTCTTTAGATTTCTCTTAGTTTTCATGTATGACCCTTATATTCTTAGTTTATAGCATATTTGCTTGATTTGCTTGCTTAGGCGTTAGAAAGCATCGACACAGATGCATGTAGACAAATATTAAAACGTAAACTCTGCACAATCCAATCCATCTTGAATTCTATTCATTTTGGCGTGCTAAATTTAGAAGCTTTTTGAGAAACTCACGCCAATCTTAAGTGTATTTCGAACAATTGGAATGTTTTGAGTGATTTTAACTTTTGGTAACATTGGTAACCTTTTCTCTCTAAATCATTATTTTTCTTAATAAATAATTTATTTAATTAAATACACGAAAATTACAAAGTTAACATAAAAATAAAATCACTCAATCCCTCCGTAGTTTACAAAGAACACTATATATTTTACCTTAATTACAATTTGGGTCTTTTCATTTTATCTGAATTATGAAATTAATTCTTCTATTTTAAAATTAAACTATTTTAATTCTTTTACATTTTTATACTCAAAATTAACAATTTATACATTTTTTAACAATGTATTTTAATCATTATATAGAGGATTAATTTTAAACACATTATAAATAAAAATATACAATTTTAAAAACGGACACTTTCATCCATTAAAAAAGTGAGGGATCAAAACTATTTGATTTTATAATAAGAGGATTAATTTTATAAATCAGATAAAGTAGATAAAGTAGGAAATCAAAATTATAACTTAATCTTATACTTTTATTATTTTAACATAAGCGACCTTTTCAATCATCCACTATTTTTTACCACACACAGCACTAGAGTTTAGTCATTTCACAACTTTTTGTTATGAATAAAGCATCTTTTGTAATTCTTGGAATTGAATAAAAGACCATATAAAAGTCAAGGTTTTAGTTTCTCAAGTGTTCTTGGCAAAGTGATATTATGTGATATTCATCAACAAACCTTAAAATCAGTATGCTATCAATATTGATGTCAAAAATAGATGATATTGGAGAAAAATCAGATAAAAAGCTTACATAACTTGTAAAAATAGTATCCATACCAATGAAGACATTTAAGCTACAAATTCAAAAAAACACTCAACAAAATCTAAAAATCAGATAAAAATGGTATGATCTGACTAAATTGCTTGGGACTTGTTAAGGATCACACCTTCATATTTCACTTGAAACCATTTCATCGAATCCTCCTTTGTGACGCGGTGCTGGATTCCAACACGTGCCTTGCAACGGCGACGACGTCCAACACGGTAACCAGGGCGCTCCAACACAACAAAGAAATCCATCCCGTAAATGCCCGTAGAAGGATCATACCTGAAAAGGCCAATTAGTTAAGTTTCATCATAATATCAGAATATACAACCTATAATGGTTTTTTCAGCTTACTTGATTCCCAAGTCAATGTGTTCTTGAATACCAAAGCCAAAACAACCGGTATCACTGAAATTTCTCCTCAAAAGTTCATATTCCTTGACCTTCAATCCACTCTCCAAAAGCTGCATTGCCTTGTCGCCTCTAACAGTGACGTAGCAAGCAATCTTTTCATTCCTTCTAATACCGAAGGAACGAACGGTGTACCTAGCTGTCAATAACCACGCAAGAGAAAAAGAAGAACCAATCAGCGCACAAGACAACCCAAACATCCGACCCGAGTTTAAACAATGTCATGTATTCACAATTGCCATAGATAAGCCAGAATCCTCGCACAAACACTAGAAATAAATTTAAGAAAACTCAAAAGTATGGCTAGATTTTCATTTCTCACCGGCAAAGACACAATACTAACACGAACACTATAAATAATAAAATAAAATTGTGATGATGGAGTGTAACCACATGAATCAGTGGCATACATGTGTCAAACACAGAAAAAGAGAAACCATTAAATGAAATAAATAAAAAGTACCTTTGGAGAAAACAGGGGTTTGACCACTAAGCTGTTCGAGAACCTACGAAAAAGAGAAACCATGCTGTTACAAACTTGAAAGAAATGAATTGAGATTCTGTACAAATGATAATGAAAAAAATACCTTCGCAGCTCTGGTAAGCCGATCTCCACTTTCACCAACAGAGATGTTGAGGACAAGTTTCTGCACTTTGATATCCCGCATTGGATTAGCCAGTTTCTTCTCCGAAGCCTGTCATAAACATTTTTCGTCAACTTTATAACCGCATAGTCATATACATAGACTTGCATATTCAACCATCAAAAGTATCTTAAACCAAATTGATAAATGTTAATGAACACAATAGATACCAAATCAGATTAGCTACTTCTTGATATCAGCTTTTTTGAATAAACAACTTATTTAAATTATCTTAGAGACCTTACAGAAATAAGCTAAAACAGCTCATAAAATAAAAATGGCATAAGCTGTTTTTATAAAATTTCTCAAACAATACCATAACTAAATCAATCAAAGTAAGGAAAAACAAATATTCATTTACAATTTAAAATTAACATTATATATCAAAGATCAAAACTGTAATTTATCAATCTAAGAAAACATTGAAGCAAATCCACACACACAATGTATAAAGCAATTTTCGAGCCCTAGAATATTATTTTAGTGCGTAAATACAATTAAATTGAATCAAATAGAATAGAAAAGAAACAGGGAGGATCAGAGATTGGAATTTACCATTGAAATTCTTGCTAGAGAGATGGAAGAATTGGTAACGGCGCGAGTGGGAGAAGACTGAGGAAGTAACACTCGCTCACTTATATCAAGGTGGTTGGATTGAAGATGGATACTAGGGTTTTTAGCAAGATTTGAAATGACAACTATACCCTCTACTTCACTGTTTTTTTATTTTAATTTTTCAACTAAAATACATATTTTTTATAAAAAATTGAAAATGCACTTGTAAATATTTTTATACATATTTTATACTGTAATCTATTAAACAACGTTGACCCGCCACATTATAGGCTGATTTTTTATTGGCCGATTTTTTATACTAAAAGTGCATGTATATTAAACTTTTCTTTTATAAAGAACATAAAATATTTTTTTTCACTTATAAAAAACTTCTCTAAAGTAACTAAAAATGATAGTACTTGTTCTGTTTTAAAAGAAAATTTTTGTTTTAAAATAAATGTTATTTTCGCTTTTTAATATATTAATAATTATTATTTTTTCAATTATGTCATATAATTATTACTCATTATACTATTTTTAATACATTAATAAGCTAATTTAATAAAAGTATAAATTTTATGACAATATCATTACATTTCTTAAACTATGTGAAAAAAATTTAAACGACAATCATTTTAAAACGGAGAGAATAATAAATATCTCTATTTTATTTTTTTATTTTAAAATACAAAAAGATTTAAGTTTAGAGAAATAATTTACGTTGAGAGTGTACTTATTTTAAAGTAGATATTAAAACCTGAAATGTAGAAAGGGACGAGTTTGCACGAATTTGTGTGGAGATTGACCTAATCTTGTTAGTTGTCGGAAATGTCAATGTTAAGAGTAATGTTATTTAGTACGAAACTATTTGAAAAAGAAATGCAAGAATGCACACATGTCATTATTTTAAAGGTGAATTTTAAATTGATTTTAAACTTAATACATGTCATTATTTTAAAGGTGAATTTTAAATTGATTTTAAACTTAATACATGTCATTATTTTAAAGGTGGATTTTAAATTGATTTTAAACTTAATTTTCTTTTTAATATGGATCATGGAATAATGGTGATAATGAATGGTTGGGATTTATTCTTGCATTTCTTGTTTTCACGTTTTCTTACTAATAAGGATTTTCCTAATGTCAATGGTCATTGATACAATGTGCAGTATGAAGGTCTTCACATTATTGGCTCTAGTTATGGTTGTTATAAACATCACACTCCTAATTACAAGAAACATCATATAATATGACGCAGTTGACCATTCCTACAATGGCGCAACCAAGAGGTCCATTAGAAAACGATGTTATCCATGAGCAAAGACAAATAGAACCACATTAGGAAGTAGGCGAAGATAGCGCCGAAATTGTAGCAAAAGAATCTGGAGAAGTAAATGCAGTATCATGGTGATTGGCTGGTCATGCAGAGGAAAGACGCAACAAAATAGATAGTTACGGTCAAGGGAAATTTTTATCCAATAATGCGCTTAGTGGTTTGGGGAGTTTTAAAATCAAAGGGATGATGTTTCCTTAAAATGAATAAGCGTTGACAACAAAACTGGACCCGATCAAAATTCAAAAGCCCGTTGAATCCGTGAACTACCAAATATCATTTGGTTCATTTTGTGAGAATCCATAACTCACTTTTTCATTACGTGAGAACCTGTAACCTACCTTTGTTGTTCTATGAGAAGGTGGAATCCATTTCATTCTCGTTGCGTGAGAATCTGTAACTTATCTTTTTTCATTATATGAGAAAGCCAAAAACTTTCACTTTTGTTACGTGAGAATTTGTAACTTGTCATCTCTGTTTTATGAGAAAATGGAATCCAATTACTTTTGTTACGTGAGATTCCATAACTTACCTATCTTTTTCATTTTGTGAGAAGCCAAAACACTTCCTTTTATTACGTAAGAATCGGTAGCTTACCTATCTTTTTTGTTATGCGAGAAGCCATAACTTTTCCTTTTGTTACGTGAGAATCTGTAACTAACCTATCTTTTTAGTTATGTGAGAAGAGAGAACATTTCCTTTAATTACGTGATCTGTAACTTGTCATCTCTGTTTTGTGAGAAAACGAAGCCCATTTACTCTTTGTTATGTGAGAATCTATAACTTACTTTTTTTGTTATGTGAGAAGCCAGAACCTTTTATTTTGGTTATGTGAGAATATGTAACTTACCTTTTGTCATTTTGTGAGAAGATGTAACCTTTCACTTTTGTTACATGAGAATTC